TGACCCTATTAAAAGTCACGTGAAGTCGCGAGTCTTTAAGAATGGGCCATGTAATAAGCTAAAGCCCATGTTGAGGGAACTAAGTGTTAGTAAAGGCCCAAATGGGTCAGCGGGCCCGACCCAGTCAATTAAAAAGGCGCTTGAGCCTTTAAAGACTCACGTGACTGGGGATAGATCTAAGGCAAACGACAGAAATCGTCTATCATTGTCTTCCTCAAGCTCTTCGACCTCTGCGAAGAACCTTTTTAATCGTCAATTAAAAAGGCGCATGAGCCTTTAAAAGCTTCGTCGGCTGGCTCTCTACGGTGGCTTCCAGTGAAAAAACCTCAACGATCATCTCCTGATCGTCGTAATCCGTGCTGTCAGAAGAAGTAATCCAGAGAAATGCGACTTGAATCTTTTGTTTGAAGAGGAGGATTGCTTTGATACTGATTTTGAAATTGAGGATACTTTGAGCCTTGGCAGTATCGACTTCTCTCAAACAAAGGACCTCTTTGAAGATGGCATTTAAACACTGAAGTGTTGTTCCTAGAGGAAGACGTTTGTGGCTCTTTGACAGGATTTCAAGCGGCAGCTCCCTCCCCCCCGCTAGGTTGTACTTCACATAAGGTCTGTATGGGTTCAACAGCTGTTATGGAAGATGCACAGGGACATCTACTCCAACAAACAAACCCACCTTTGGACTGCAACATGCTCAAGTTATCTATTTAGGGGATCAAAACTCATTATTGTCGTTCTACGCAGAATCACCGATTAGGAGGCAACTTTTAATGGTAGCTTCGGCTACATTGGTTAATACAGATTTGATTGAACCTAGACAACTTCCAAGGATCAATCAATCAGGAGGACCATGCCTAGATTCGATGCCTTCGATAGCACCTTCAACTCTTGTTCCCACTTTACCAATTCCCTTTGATTCAAATACGCCTGTGGATTTGTTTTTTGCTACTAACAAGGGTCCTTTGCCTGGAATAGGTACTTCGGCTTCTCAACCAGAAGGAATGGCCAACGGAGGGGAGAGTGGGACTGCGGTTAAGGGTTGTGGAGAAGAGGAGGGGGAGTTCTTATTGAAAAGGAAGCAGGAAGAAGAATTAGAGAGAATTTGGGAGCGGATTTGTGCTCTCTTGGAGGATTATAAAGAGAAAGAAGAGCAAATGGAGGTTACCCCTACAAAATTGAAACAGAAGAAGGAAATTGAGGACAAAATTGAAAGCCTGGAACAGGGACCGTTTTGGGAGGATAAAGGATTTAAAGTCTTTCTTGTTGACTCAAATTGAAGATTTGGACAAAAAGAAATCTCAAAGGACTATGAATGCACATGAACGAAAGTTGAGATGGAGTTTAAAGAAGGAATTAGAAGAGGTCCTGTTGCTAGAAGAGATTTCATGGAGGCAAAAATCAAGGTTTAAATGGATCAAGGAAGGAGATGGGAATACAAAATTTTTTCATGCGATGGCCAATGGGAGGAGGAGGAAAAATTTTGTAGCACAACTTGAGATTGATGGAGAGGAAATCTCCTCTCAAGAAGAGATAGCTAGATCGTTTTAAGTCAATTCTGAGAAGACCTCTTGATTGTAGGGTGGAAGTGGATGGTCTAGACTGGCCAAGTCTTTTTGAGAGGGACAGAGGATGGTTGGAAAGAAACTTTGAGGAGGAAGTGATCAGACAAGTAGTTTTCTTAATGGATAGATTTAAGGCTCCTGGGCCAGATGGATTTACGATGGCCTTTTATCAAGGTTGTTGGGACATAGTTAAAAATGATTTATTTGAGGTCTTCAGGGAGTTTGAGGATAATTACGTTGTTAGTCCTGGAGTAATGCTACTTTTGTAGCTCTTATTCCCAAGAAGGCAGTCGCTAAGCATCCTAAGGACTTCAAACCAATTAGCTTGGTGACTAGTGTTTACAAAATTTTGGCTAAGGTCTTATCCTTGAGGATCAAAGTGGTACTTCCCTCTCTAATTAGTCAAGCTCAAGGTGCTTTTGTACAAGGAGGGCAAATAGTAGATCAGATTTTGATAGCTAATGAATGTGTGGAGGAGATGAAGAGATCAGGTAAAAAAGGCTTTGTCTGTAAATTGGATCTTGAAAAAGCCTATGATTTGGTGGATTGGAGCTTCCTCTTAGAGGTGCTAAGTAAGTGTGGGTTTGGGAAAGATGGTGTGAGTGAATTAAGGGTTGTCTCACTTCTTGTCGTTATTCTATCCTTGTCAATGGAGTAGTTAAGGACTTCTTCCTAGCTTGTAGAGGCCTAAGACAAGGTGATCCACTCTCCCCCTTTTTATTCACTCTTGTTGCTGATATGTTAAGTAGATTTATTTCAAAAGCAAATAGGGAGGAGGTAGTGAGTGGTTGGAGAATAGGAAGAAATAGTGTGCCTGTGACTCACCTTCAGTTTGCAGATGATACTGTAATCTTTTGTGAAGGAAGCAATTTGAGGAAGGTTGGGAACCTTAAGAACTTAATTAATTGTTTTGAAAAGGCCTCAAATCTAAAAATCAACTTTGAAAAAAGTTGTGTGGTGGGAGTCAATATGGATGCTCAAGAAATAGATGCTATTGCAGGTTGCTTAGAGTGCTCCACCTCATCCTGGCCCTTAACTTATCCAGGTCTTCCCCTAGGAGCTAACCCAAAGAAAAGCCGCTTTTGGATCCCTGTTGTGGAAAAGTTTGGAAAGAAGTTGGTAAGCTGGAAAAAGAATTATATCTCTATGGGGGGTAGAGTGATTTTGATCAAATCCACACTTTCTAATTTGTCGGTTTACTTTTTGTCTGTGTTTAAGATTCCTACTAGGGAAGCTAAGAGGATAGAGAAGATGATGAGGGACTTCTTGTGGGAGTCGGGGCAAGAGAAGAAGGATCATTTTATTAGATGGGAGATAGTTAGTTGAAGTAAGGAGGAAAAAGGATTAGGATTAGGGAATACTACTTTTAAGAATGTAGCTCTTCTAGGTAAGTGGTTGTGGAGATGGCCTTTAGAGAGGGAGAGGTTATGGCATGAAGTGGTGGCAAGTATCCATGGCTATTCCGGAAATGGTTGGGATGCAGGGGTATCTAGACGGGCAGCTCTTGCAACACCTTGGAAGTCAATTCATGGCATCCTCCCACGGTTCCTACGCTTTGTAAGGTATGATGCTTGCTCTGGGACTCGTGTTCTTTTATGGGAAGACACTTAGGTGGGAAATTTGCCCCTTAAGGATCTGTTCCCTTCTCTCTTCTCTATTTCCCTTTATAAAAAAGAACCTGTCTTCCTTTCTTTTGTCCCCATATACCCCTTTGTCGACAAATTGGGATGTTGGCTTCTGTAGAGGGTCGAGGGATGAGGAATCCTTATCAGTTTTTGAGCTCTTATTGTTACTTGATTCTGTTTGCCTGGACCCATTAATTTTTGATAGGAGGATTTGGACTTTGACTCCGAAAGGGTCGTTTACTTGTGCATCTTTCTTTAATTTCCTTTGCTCTAGTTCCTCTCCTCGGGCTTTCCCAATTAAGGAAGTTTGGTCTAGGCCTATTCCCCCAAAAATTGCTGTGTTTTGTTGGAAGTTTACTATGGTAAAATCAATACGATGAATAACCTGCAGAAGAAAAAACCTTTCTTGTGTTTATCCCCTAACTGGTGTATTTTGTGCAAAGCACAGAATGAGGACTGTTACCACTTATTGATTTTTTGTCCTTTTGCTGCAGCCATTTGGAATTGGGTATTTGATTTGTTTGAGTGCAGGTGGAACTTGCCAACTAAGGTAAATTTGCTGTTTTCCCCTTCTACCTTTGTRTGGACCACAAGAAGAGGGAGARTCATGTTGAAGTGTATAAGAGCAGCTCTCCTTTGGACTATTTGGGAAGAGAGAAATTCTAGAATTTTTCAGGAGAAGGAAAGAAGCATTCTTGAGGATTTAATGAAGACCTGGTTCAGTATTCTCAAAGTCAAACCCGATTTAAGAGTGTATTGTTACAAGGACTATTTTGTGGCTGAAATTCTTAAGGCTCTTTGAAGATTATTTCTTTGAGGATTTAATGAGGAATTGGTCTCCAGTTGCCCTCACTTCCTCTGGGAAGCCTAGAGTTCAAGTAATTTGGACTCCGCCGATGGAGGGTTTTGTTAAGCTGAACTTTGACGGAAGTGGTCAGGGTAACCCAGGACCGTTTGGGATTGGTGGTGTACTGAGAGATGAGAACAGCAACATCATTGCCTTTTTTCGGGACCGGTGGGGATAGGAGACTCTGTGAGGGCTGAACTCTTAGCTGTGGCACAGGGGGTACAGATTGCTTATCAACTTGGAGTGCAAAACTTGATAATTGAAGGAGACTCCAAGGTGGTAGTAGGATGGTTGGCTGACCTGGGTACTGTCACTTGGAACTTTAAGGATATTTTAAAAAAGGTCAAATGGCTATTGAGGGGCATGATAGTTAGAGTTCAGTGGTTGGGTAGATCGGCTAATGCCTTGGCTGATTATCTTGCTAAACAAGGGGCTACTCGGGTTTCATTGTATTGGGCTTCTTTGTAATTTTCTTTTTCCTTTGTTATGTTCTTTAACTAAAGGGTTGATGGTTTCTTCCATCTTCTCTCCTTAAAGGGGAGGTAGCATCTCGTGCCTCTCCCTAAATTGTACTATCTTTGGCTTTGATTTAATAAATCTGACAATTCACTGATAAAAAAAAAAGCTCCTCTAGTACATGTCAACATATTTTTTTAATGGAAGTTTCTGCATGTGCTCAGTCATGAAAATGACATGGTATCTGACATGTGAAATTCCAATGATGAAGTGGCCTTATTACATTGTACCTGACAGATGGATTCAAGATTTCTTATAATTACACATCCAACAGTTCCTATGTCCAGCTACATGCTCAACCACATATCTCATTTTCAGGGATGCTGCTATCTTTTCATTGTAGATACCTTAGATATGATTCCATTGGATCAGTTTTTACCTTTTGGTAACTTTTTACCTGCTACATTTATCTTGTTAAGACATTAAAAATTGGTTTTCTTTTCATGGCAGGTTAAGCTCGTTAAATGCCTTGTACAGAATATTGTAGTAGACATCTCCTTCAATCAGCTAGGAGGACTCTGTACGCTATGCTTTCTTGAGCGGGTATGATTGGAGATTCACTGTAGTATTCAAAATTTGGATCAATTAGTTATTGTTGACAAATAATACTACTTACATTGTTATATGTTAGAGAACTTAGAGTCACAATGACCTGGCATATTAGTTCGAGTAACTCAAGGTAGTGACCAACAGTTTTTTTGTTTTCACAGGTATTTGCAGTATTGAGATAATGTGAAATATTTAATCATGGAGATATTGTTTCTGATTATATGTTCTGCTGAAAATATTTAGGTTGAATCTTTTCTTGTTTCCTTTTAATGATCGACTGTCTTTTATTTCTGATTTCCTTTTTTGGTTTCTCTGTCACGATCTATTGGAAGATCTGAATGAGCAATCCTGGTGGGAGAAGTGTGGGGAATACTATGATGGAAGAGGATGTCCTGAAATGGACAGATAAATGGCCAGGATTTGTTAGGAACAAAATGGGGAGACAAAGATGGTGTAGGCAATTCAAACTAGTTGTTAACATGTTATTAATCCAGCCTTGGGAGAGGCAGCAGAGGCCATCTGGGTCATTTCCAAATCTTGAATTTGGATCATCTCCAGCACATCCAATGGATGACCAACCAGATTTGTTTCCCCCTCCTCAACAATGATGATCCACTTCGTATTTCCTAAATGTTCTATGCAAACAATTTTTTTATTGAACTCCTTTTTAAGGTAAATGACTTTCTTTTAACATAGTGGAATTATCGTTATTCTTTTAAATTCCAAAAAGTCCACGTTTCTTTTCAGAAAAAAAAAAGATACAAATTGTATTGTTTCCATTCTTTGCCCCTAATTTAGTAGTTGAGTATTTATTTTTCTGATGAATAATAGAAATTTCATTGATTATATTAAAATATGTAATATTATACAGATCCCAAGCATCCTATTGGTATGGTAGCTGGGAAACCACCTGCACCACCACATGGTCTTCACTCTTATTGCTACAAAACTGTTCCAATTTTCCCCAAAACATTGGCTGATCTTTGGATCCATTTCACATTTATAACCCTTTCTCTTCTCAGCATCTTGATTTCCTTCATAGTATTCTTGTATTGCCAAGTGATCAGCTCCTCATTCTCGAACCACTGAATCACCACTTTTGAGTCCCTTACCATTTCTATTTTTCTGTAATCATTTAGCCTGGCTAGTCTCAAACCACTTTTTCCCATAATGTAGTAGCTGAAGTATCGATAAAAAAATTGTAGCAGTTGATGTTTTCTATGCTTTAACCATTCCTTTTCTTGTTGTAACTTATGTTACCTGGATACCTACACAATGGTATGGTAGTGTATCATGTTAGATATTTCAATTTTTAGTTTGACTTTCATATTTGACACCTTGTCCATATAATGGTGGGCCATACCAGAAGAACTGCCTAACCTGTGGCTATTCCTGAAGTTGGACTGAAATTAAACTTTGATGGTTGCAATCTAGGCAACCTTGGTGAATATAGCATTGCAGAGGTAATTAGGGATGATTTTGGTAATATCATTCTTAGCTATCAGGACCCCGCAGAGTTTGGTTCCTCATTAAGAGCTGAATTGGTGGCTGTGACTCAAGGTATTAAGCTGGTAGCATTAAATAATTGGAGAAGCCTTGTAGTGACAAATAATTGTTAAGTAGTGATTCCGTGGTTGTGTAACAATGAATAGGTGCCTTTTGAACTTCTGAGAAGCCAAAGCATTAGGAAACAACATGAACTGCTCATTCAGGTGGGTTTCTAGATCTGCCAATGATTTTGCAGATGCTCTAGCCAAATCTGGGGTGATCAGATAAAGCTTGAATTGTGCTATGCTGGTTTTTGGCCTGTGCCGATTGTAGACTTGGTTTTTGGCCTGGGATTGAGATGTTAATTGCTTTTCCTGTTTTCGTACCTGGTTTTTGGCCTGTGCCAATTATACACTTAATCATAGAAGTCTTTTTTTTTTCCCTTTCTTGGATAGCAAGAGTTTTTTCCCCAATATTGACTGTAATTCATTTCTGTTGACTATAAAAAAGTATACAGAGAAATTGTGCCAAGCACCCCGTTTAATAGGCTTGCCCTTGCTACCTAACCCACTTGTATTGTGTTTTCCATTTCCCTATTTCCTTGCCTTGGGGGGGAGGGGGGAGATAACAGCAAATTCTCTGATCTAATTCTATGTGACTATACCTCAAATCAACTCATATTAACACCACCTTTTTTTTCCTTTTTTTTATTTATCACATATAGGAGCTAGTCATCCCTCTCTGCATTTGCATCTTTTGCTACACATTTTTTGGACATGCTTTTTGATAATCCAACATTCTACTCCATACCAATTGCTGACCTTAACATTTTTCATTTGACTTGATTGGTATTCTCTGGTCACATAAATTCCACATGCACCATTCTATCCAAGGTTTAAAATGTTGATGTTGATGGAAATGCCGCTTACCAAAATATAGGACATATGTTGGAAATGTCGAGGGGAAATATTGTAAAAATTAGAGACCTTGTGGAAATATGCAAAGATATTTTGTAAAATGATAAAAGAAGCATTAATACATATTTCTAGACTATTATCTTATTCCCAACCATTATATAAAGTTAAGAAACTAAGATCAATAACAAATTAGTAAATGACGATTTACTGATTTATTATGCATTTTGATGTTTTTACAAGGTTAT